CAAGTGAAACAGTTACTAGTTTCTTTTATATGCTTTCATTTAATAAATGCTTGAACCCACAACTTCAATGCCAACCATTTCTCCATTTATTCTAACATTTCTTCATGCTTATCAGGTTCTAATTATGCAAAACCTTCGAAGGAGAGAAAATAAACATCCACTCATGGATTTGGAGAAAAAAAATAAACAGCTTCAATTGCAGATAAGACTTGCACGCAAGAAATCGACTATCATTCTACAGGTATATCACGGCTCCTAGAGATAACTAAAACAATCTTGGACTTGAATATTTTGTGTTTGAGAACGACCAAAAAGGGTATTTAGTATATACTTTTTTCCCCGACTTGGGGACTTTAAAGTGTAGGTTATAGGCATATTTACCAATTTATATATAGAGATTTAATATTCATTTTGATCGCCTATTTTGTTAAACAATACCTAAACATTCACCTTTTAAATTTTGAGAATTCATGAACCTCTTAGCCATAACTAGACTTCCCCTATAAATACTTCACATAGGTTCACTCTTCACATATACCTCAAACAAATACCAAAGTGCTTTTTCTAAGAATGAAGCTCTTGGAGAAAGCTCACATGATGGTACAAATGAGACCCTCTTTCCTCCTCTATCATTCTATCTATTCTAAGTTGCATGGTGGTCTAATATATGCAATTTTTTCTTGAACATACTTTCATTGCTCTAAAACTCCATGACAAGATTGAAGAGCTACATGTATATAAATCATTTCTTCATTTTTTTTCCTAAGGGGTGCTTTGTTTTACAGGTAATTAGATTGTTTTTTGCTCTCTTTTTGGTGACACTGCTGAGTTCAGAGGTAGTTGAGAGCAGAAGAGCCAAAACTGTCACAACTTCCTTTGAGTATAAGGCTATAAATTGCAGAGGTCATAGTGCTTCATTGACAGACTTTGGTGGTGTTGGAGATGGAAAGACATCAAACACTAAGGCCTTTGAGTCTGCAATCAATCACCTGAGTAAGTATGCTTCTGAAGGAGGGGCTCAGTTATATGTTCCTGCAGGGAAATGGCTCACTGGGAGTTTTAGTCTAATCAGCCACTTCACACTTTATCTGAATAAAGATGCTGTTCTCCTTGCTTCTCAGGTATCTCATTTTTGTTCGTTCTTTGATGGCAAAGTAATCACAAATATAGGATTCAAGAATCAAGATCTTGTTAGCATTCAATTTGTAGTTCTGGTTATTCATACCGATGATTATATAACCACAAATTTCAGTTTTTTTTGTGTTCCCTCAGGCAGAATCTACTTATATTAAACCTACATGCCCAAAAAACTTTTCACCTTAAATCAGAACCGTTCATCTTCAGTTATTTTGATTTTTATTAACCATAAACTTTAAATCTTCCACAAGTTTTACTATTCCTTACTTAACGATCATGCATTTGAATTTGAAAGTGGTGTTATTGTTCTTCCATAGCCTTTGACAGTAGTGGAAAAAGAAAATTTATTCTACTGATTGTGGTGTTTGAACTAATGTTGTTGTTTCACCCGTTTGGCCTCATTTGCCCTTTCTAGCACCTTTTTTTGGCAGAATTTGGGGAGAACTATTTCCCATGTCTTACAAAAAGAAAAAACAAACAGTATATTAAGTTATGCTCTATGCTTTCGTTAGTTACGTGGTAAAAAGATTATGAACGGACTTTATTGATGGAAATTATATGTCTTTGGTTTAGAACTCTGGCTAGAATTTCTCAAGTGATTTAAAAAAAAAAAAATATATATATATATATATATATATATATATATATATATATATATAAGGTAGTCTGTTATTTATCACTGTCGTAGACTCATGACTGACTCGTGAAAATGGAAATAGACAATTTTAAAGGGATTCACTTTAGTTACAAATGAGGTAAAATGCCCAATTAATAAAATACAAATGTGTCACAAGGTTCTCCACTTCCTACTTTTACAAGAAAACTAGGCTATCAAAGCAATGCTTTTAAGTGACCCGTGATAGCAATATACAAACTCCTGAGCCTTTGATCCTCTAAAACCTCTTTATAAACGTGTCTAAAGATAATTTGGGTTCCACAGGAAATGAACATTTAGTCCCTAAAATCTGGTCATCCTAACACTTTTGGTCATCACTATTCCTCCAAGAAACTAACTCTGTCAGTGCCATGACGTGGATCACTAAGCTTTTTGTCTTTTGTTCACAGGGTGAATAGTTCCTCATGTGGCACATTTTTTACACACGTGTGACACTAGTAACAAAAGTTTTTCTTTGTATTAATATTAATTAGTCTATAATTTTGTTAACCTCAATTTTTAAAAATTAATATTTATTACTTTTCTATACTTTTAATGTAACAAATAAATTCTGTTTTATAAGTTGTAATTTTTAGTTCTTTATCACTAATGTTTAAGATTGAGCTGAATATTTTTCATTAATATATAATTGTTTTAGGATATTAGTGAGTGGCCTGTGATCAAACCACTCCCATCGTACGGTAGAGGAAGAGATGCAGCAGCTGGAAGGTACACTAGCCTCGTATTTGGAACAAACCTCACTGATGTTATTGTCACAGGTATGGAAAAAGTTGCAGGAGACAATTATCAAACTAGTGGTTAAGGGTTGGTAAACCTTTTCAGCAAACATGTGCTACGCATCAAAAGTTTGAATTCCAATTCCCTAAGTTCACTTACCCTCTGAATATATTCTATTGTGCTTGTCATTACATTTTATGTATTGTTCATTTTAGTCTTGAAATTTTTAATATATTTTATATTCAATGTAATAGCTACTTATTTCAAGAGCAAACTGGATATATATTTATGTGACTAATGATTAATCATTGGTTTCATGACTAATTATTATTCTGCGTCGCTTTTTTGGTCACGTGTTATGATTGCTTAAATGGCAAAATATTCTTTTAAACAAATATGTTAACATTAACCCTTAGAGTTAATATTTATTATAAATGCTTATTTTTAATAAAATTTTATTACTTTTATATGATTAAAATTAGTTTTAAGAATTGACATAATAAAATTGTTTAAAATTTATTGTAAATTTGATGTTGTGTTAAATTATTAACTATGGATTAAATAATTTTATTATTGTTAGTGCTTGTTGATTAATCTTAATATGACGATTGTGGTGACAGGGGACAATGGCACCATAGATGGTCAGGGTGCATTTTGGTGGCAACAATTTCACAAGAAAAAGTTGAAGTACACTCGCCCCTACCTGATTGAATTAATGTTCTCAGACAAAATTCAAATCTCCAATCTAACGCTCCTAAATTCTCCATCATGGAATGTTCATCCTGTTTATAGCAGGTAATCCTACTCTTTCATATGGTCATAATCAAAGTTTTAAAAGCCTTCGAAATTACATTTGACCTTTGTGACACTTGCATTATTACCCCTCTGAAATAATGTTCCATCTTCAAGATTATAACAAAATTTCCAACACTATACAGCAATATTATTGTTAAAGGCATCACCATCATCGCTCCTGTCACATCTCCAAACACTGATGGCATAAATCCAGGTAGACATCTGAATATTATTATTACAACAATATATTAACGTTACAAATTTTTATATACCCTTATATTGATCATCATGAGTAATATTAAAATATTTATATTTGGTTAAGCTTATTTTTTAAAAATAATCACTTTCTTCTTCTTTTAGTTACTTAAAAGATTTTTTTTTTAAAAAATGAGTGATTATTTCTATAGAATTAAGCTGAACCAAACACGTTAGGTATAAGAATATTAAAAAAAAACTAATAGCACATTTTTTATGATTGATATTTTTAAAAATATCAAATCACTTGTCTTATAAATTTATTATTTTTTAAAAATCGATTAATCACATAAAATTTGTTAAAAAGAGCGTAGTATAAGCATTTTTCAAATCATTAATTTTCCTATCCATATATAATTGTGTAATTTAAATTAACCCCTTTTTACTTATAATGCTCTCAGTTGATATATAAATGTATATAAGGGCTGAATAAATTGATACTTTTATCTATTTTGGCATTTTAGATTCTTGCACAAATACCAGAATTGAAGACTGCTACATAGTTTCTGGAGATGATTGTGTGGCAGTGAAAAGTGGGTGGGATGAGTATGGCATAAAATTTGGGTGGCCCACAAAGCAATTAGTGATAAGAAGGTTGACATGCATTTCTCCATACAGTGCAACCATTGCCTTGGGAAGTGAGATGTCAGGTGGAATCCAAGATGTCAGAGCTGAGGACATCACAGCCATCCACACAGAATCAGGTGTCAGAATCAAGACTGCAGTAGGGAGAGGAGGGTATGTGAAGGACATATATGTCAAGAGAATGACCATGCATACCATGAAATGGGCATTTTGGATGACTGGTAACTATGGTTCCCATGCTGATAGCCACTATGATCCTCATGCATTGCCTGACATCACAGGCATCAACTATAGAGATATGGTGGCTGATAATGTGACCATGGCTGCTAGGTTGGAAGGAATCTCCAATGACCCTTTTACAGGAATTTGCATTGCCAATGTCACAATTAGCATGGCAGCAAAGGCCAAGAAACAGCCATGGAGCTGCACTGATATTGAAGGGATCACAAGTGGGGTCACTCCTAAGCCATGCAATTTGTTATCTGATCAGGGGCCAGAGAAAATCAAAGCGTGTGATTTTCCCACCGAGAGTCTACCAATTGATATGTTGGAGCTTAAGAAGTGTACTTACAGGATTAAGCATGCATGAATTTTATAGTAAGATGTTTCATATAGTTATTTATTTAAGGCTAGTCTTTGTCATATTATCAAGAAATCATTGCTCAAGTTGAGAAATGAATTATCGGTCAGATTATAGTAATGAAACATTTTTCTTTTTTCTCTACAAGTTTATGAAATGGCTTGATGTTTCCAAGAGCGTAAGCAATACATTAATCAAACCTTGCTAGTTAAGTTTTGCTGAGAGGACTTGCATATGACTTGAGGAAAAACACAGCAAACATGGAAATTTTATAAACCATGCATACTACCAAACCATTATATTTTATGCCATACAATTGGATCATGTCAGTCCCCACAAATGAGAAGTTTTCTTGTGTATTTTCCTTGGTATAAGGATAGAAAAACTGGCAGAAACAGTTCACTAAACTATGGTGCCCAAGTCTAAAATGAAGGATAATAGTACAAGAAGAAGGGAATTCTTTGATATTCTGCTGAAACCTTAGTGATGCAGCACATCTTCTGATCCATTCCACAGCACATCTCAACAATATGATTATGGAGACTGAAATGAAAGAAAGCTCACAACCTCAGTGAATCTCAGAATCTCAAACATGTTGCATATCCTGTTGTGAGCTGCAACTTGCCAAGCAGTATTGTAACATGTATATAACTTGGTCATCAAATATTTCACTAGCATATACACAGTAAATACAAAAGCTCAGTAAACTGGTGGATCAGGATTGAACTTCACAGATTCTCTCCAGATGAGCTCCTTGATATCTTCTTCAGTGAACGATGGTTGCTCAAAGTCAAAACTGAAAGGTCTGGTGCAAACAGGCTCCTCATTGATATCATGAAGAGGTGCCATGTATGCGTGGCACAATGCCTCATCAACTGATAAGAATTATGAAGTAGGGTACAATTATTCAAAATACAGAGAGAATCTCGTTATTCATATAACACTACTGGGTATATATATTGTCAAGAAACATGAGAAGAGTTTAGAGCATCAATGAATAAAAAAAACTAGATGGAATACACAAGTTATTATACAGAGAGATTCAATTTGGGTAAACTTCTAGAAAAATCTTTATTAGTGAAATAAATTAAATAATTTTTTTTTTCATAAGTTAAAAACAACTCATTTCCTTAAATTTTAAAAAATTTTAATGAAAGAACTTCGTAAAAAATAAAGATGCATAAGTTGTTACTAATTCATGAGAATTTTATTCATTTTTATACTTTTTTTTTTTTGCCAATAAATATTTCTTTAGAAGTTTACCTAAACTGTGCCAAAATGACCTAGTGTAAAAGGTTCAAGACAGTATCAAGTATACAAATTTTCACCAGAAACGAGCATAGGGTCCACTTAAACCAAAAACAAACTTCTAATTGATGTCGTTGTTCTAAACTAAAAAAGCATTGGAAGTCAGCAAACACTGCAAATATTTACAAGGGTGGCTTCAAAACAAAATTAGAACAAATTCTAACAAAGATATAATTGGTACCCTCAGATTTTAATTGTCTTTTCCTGTTCCTATGGTACTTGTTGGTGCTAATGTTGTCACAGCTTGGACTTTCACATCAATAGATGTCCCCATATCATTTCGAGTCATATACAACTTCAGCAGCAATAGATTCAACAAATTGGAAAAGTGTTTTGCAATCAATTTTACCTGTAATACGCCTGTTTGGATCAAAGATAAGCATCTTCTCTAGCAAATCAATAGCACCAGGAGACATGTTGGGGAATCTAGCAGAAAAGTTTTGCTTTGGATTTTGTGGAAGCTGTTTTACATATCTTCGAGCATTATCACTTCGTAGAAATCCGAGGCTGGCATCATCGGGTGAACCTATCAGCTTTTCAAAAGAAAGGAAAATTGTCATTCTAGTGTTCATTTAAATCAGAGAGAGATCTGAAAAGAATCAAAGCATGGGAATTATCATTCTACAAGAAACCATATAATCTAAATCTCCTATTGCAAATGTGTTGGCAGTAAACTGAAAAACATTGACTTATTTAAGTATTCTAAATTTACTCAACTTTCATTTCTCATGTATATTGTTTCCTTATGCTCCCAAAAAAACAGAAACCAAGGGAACAAAGGTTATGTAAGATCAATATATACCATGTCCCATAAATTAAAAACAAGCACTTAAATTATTTTCAACTTCAAAACTGGGATTCTATTTTATATTTTTCCATTTAAACAAAGTGATGCAAGCTATAAAATCCAGAAGACATAAGCTAATGTGAGACCCAACATCTCTCTCTCCTGAATTGTGATCTATTGAACTCTAATTTACAAGTAGATCCAACATCCAGATTAAAAAGGGAGGAAAGAAATGCAAAGAACATAATCAGTCTCAGTAGATTTTTATGTCAGCAATTCAAGAGCCTGTAGCAGAAAGTCCCATTTAAGATATCAAACTAATACCTCTGTGACCAGTCTCAACTGATGAACATAATCTTTGCCAGGAAAGAGGGGTTGTCTTGTTATGATTTCACCAAGTATGCATCCAACAGACCATATGTCAATGGCTGCTGTATATTCTGAACAATTAAGAAGCAACTCGGGAGCTCGATACCATCGAGTAACCACATACTCAGTCATAAAATCAGTTTCAGATGTAGTTCTAGCAAGACCAAAGTCTGCAATCTTAAGGTCACAATTGGCATTCAATAACAAATTGCTAGGCTTTAGGTCACGGTGCAAAACATTTGCTGAATGCACATATTTGAGCCCTCGTAACAACTGATACATAAAATACTGAAAAATAAAAAGAAAAAGATCTTATAAATGGCCGTAAGACAGAAAGTATATGAATTATGCTATAGTGTCTGAAGCCCTGGAGACTGCATGGAGTCCACACAGTGCAATGGATGATGTGGGCCCCACAAGTGAGGTAGGAGACTTATGCCCCCTGGTACACAGGCTGAGCTTTGATCTGGTCTCCAAGGTTCCGGGTTCTTAAGGATGTTCCTTAATATAATTACATTTTATATGTTGTTGCACAAAAACCATGAATGTCATATATAAATTAAATTCAAAACAAGCAGAATAAAATTACTAAGTAAAGGCAAAGGCAATTTAGCATATTAAAGCAAGTTGTAAAGCCAATTCACATTGAACATAGTTTCAATTGTTTTTCATACAAGTGAACAAAATTATAATCATTCTTATATTATACTTTCACATAATCATAGAACCAACAGAGAACAAAATGCCATCCCAAATATCAATACTGATGAAAACCAAAGAAAAATCTATCTAATGATTGAAGTTTATTCATGGTGTAACAGGAATCAAGACCAGAAAAAAGGTTGAATAAGGGGGGGAATTTTCTGGAAATAATAGCTCAAATAAAAGTTAATAAACAGCCTACACTTTAGAGTGTGGCTACCTAATAAAGTTTATATGCAAAGAGAAAAAAAGAGTAATCCAGTAAACCAATGTTCAGACCAAAAATGATTATTCAAATCCAGACCGAAAGAAGATACGTATCCTCGTAGTGACTAGTGGCAGGAGTTCATGTCTTAATTCAAGTTTAAAACATCCTGAAACAAATTTATTTTCACCATTGACATGATTTTGTAAGTAATACTATGCAAAAAGTAAAAGCAATCCCATTACATTATTGTTTCTGTCACAACATTGCACAACTGTAAATAAAACACTGTATAAGTTCAACGGGGAAATGTGAAAGTGGGCAGGCCCAATCAAACTCGGATGGGCCCATGACGTGTGTACAGCATTGTACACTGACCACAAAGATAAATGTTAAGTAAATCTACTCAATCACTTCAATTTCTATTTATCTTAAGTTTCTGCAACAATACAACCAAAGGAGACAATGTTAATAAAGCCATTAGCTATTTATTCTTTCAACTGGGCAGGTTAAATATCATATACTAACCCGACAATGATCATCAGTCAATGGTTGATTGGATCGTATTATTTGATGCAGATCTGTGTCCATTAATTCAGAAACCATGTACACATCATTGAAGTTTTCCTTCTGTGGAGGTCGAATAATATCTTTAATAGACATAATCTGCATTGGGAAATAATTGATAAGTAGTCTACTTTGAAAATGAATGTTGGTGAAATTTTTTTAATTAGAATCAAAATCAAAGGAGGAAAATCCAATCAAGCACCTTTCACAAATTAAAGAGAAAATATAGCTAGAGACTGAAGTATTTTCTAAAACTACCATCAGAAGATTTTACCACAATTCAACTATCACGAGGGAAACTTGTCATACAAAAGCAAATCACAATCTGCATTTAAGCATAAGCAAAACATTTGAATAAAATTTGACCATTGACATCAAGAAAATCCAACTCAAGCACAAAATGATATGCTTCAAGATCTAATTTACTTCATTCAAAAACATGTTTGACTGTGCTAAATTGAGATTGTAAAAATATGAAGATCAGACATATTCCATTGACAAGAGTGCTTAGCTTGTTAAATTTCGACAGAGCACAAATCTACAGATCAAGAGAAGATAAATTTCAGTCAGGTATGATAAATAAGTGACAAAAAGTCATAATTGTGCATCATGCAACAGGATGCTGCACTGTGTTGTTTGTTCAGTAAGCAAAATTAAACGACACAGATCAAAGCTTTTACAGATGTAACAGAAACTGGGGGAAGAAACAGAATAAAATAAAGGAAGGAAACAATAGTAGGACAAAATGGAAAATTCAAACAGCAACAGATGAAAATAAACAATAACATTGAGGGAAACAGGGTGTAGATGTCAGAGACAAGTACAAAAGTATCAAAATTACATTTTCATGATCCATGTGCCGAAGAAGCTTAATTTCTCGTAAGGTCCTTTTGGCATCTATTCTGTTGTCAAATGCATTGCCAACCTTCTTAATGGCAACTTCCTCACCTGTCTCTGCATTTACAGCAGCACTGAAGAAAATGAAAAATTAATATTATTCCTCACATCATTGATAAAAGAAAATCTATGCCACATGGATGATAAAAGTGAAATTCTTGTCAGACCCTAAATTTGAATAAGCCATCCACAACATATACATTGTACTCTAAAATACCAAAAACTGTGCTAATAACAGTATCAGCATCACTGAGCACGCAGATATACCAGAAGAATGATCCATCTCATTTCCCACTTTGACTCAAGCAGAACCGTAGTATCAATACATCTAATTAGACAACAGAACCAAAATTGGAAGAGATATGAAAGCCTCTGACACTTGACTGGCATTTTAAGATCTATAACAAGATTATCTTAGGCGTAAAAATGATTCAGCTCATGAGTCCCACCAAGACACGGCAAAATTCGCATCATATATCTTAAAAGCAACGAAGATAGAATGCAATACAACAGTTTGAGGCTTTGAGCTCAAAATTGGTCTTCCTCCTCATCACATCAAAATAACCAATTCAATCCTCATTAACTAAACAAAACACCTACTTGATTAAACAAAAAAGGGACAAAATTTTAAAATAAACAATAGTCAATCACAAATGAAGCAACAACTCCTCTTCAATTTAAATCTAAATTAACAAAAATAAAATAAAATGGGCTTGATTAGTAGCAAAAAAAAGAAAAAGAAAAAACTAGTCCTTGCTCTTAACTCAGGTAATCCAAAAACAGATGATGAAAGTACAACATAGCTCAAAGCAAACAACCCTTTACACAAAAAGCAACAAAAAATATAACAAATGTTAATGAATTCAACAAAAAAATAATAATAAGAAAATAAAAATAAAAAAACCAATACAACCCCCCCCCCCCCCAAAAAAAAAGGGGGGGACTTTTTTGCTTACCAAACAATACCATAAGCGCCTCTACCCACAGGGCGAATAGGAGGGACATACTTTCTTGAAACCTCAAAGAGATTACCATAGATATTGTATTGAATGTAGCGTCCACCATGAGTGGGTACCCCTCTGATGTTGTTATGCTCACCTGACTCAACAGAAGACATGTCTTGTGTCCACAACCTCTTCTCAATTCAAAACCAAAAATGGGAAGAAAACGAAGAAGACGACCCAATATAGAAAGGGTGATTCAAAGTACAAAAGGAGCAAACTTTAAGGGTTCTGACATTTCATTTTGTAGAGAGAGAGAGAGAGAGTAAGAGAGAGAAGGGTATGCATGAGTATGAGGCTTTTCCAGTGGACACGCTTGTGTGAACCCGTGAACAAATTGACCTTTCTTTCTCAGTTCTCTTTTTCAACAACGGTGGTGTGCTGTCTGTGATTTTCCACTTCCAATGGTTTCTTCACCATTATTATTATTATTATTTTCTATCTATTTAAACGATTCTTTTTAATTTCTGTTTTGCTCTTGCTTTATCGAAAATAATAGCTACATGCATTTTCTTTTCCGGGCAAATAGCAATGTGCTTATATATAATTGGTAAATAATGACTATTATGTGATAAATAGAGTTATTAATCAGCAAAAATTGTATAAGAAACACCGTTTTGGAGTTACCACATTTCCATATATTGAACTAAAAGAACCTGTCCTGATCAAAGTCACTCGAAAAAGTCTTGAGGATTAGTGATAACAGACTCAAATTCCAAGTCCTCGTCAACATAGTGCAACTGGAATTGGTTGAGTCTTAATTTTATAGGTTCTGTTGACCTGCCTCAAAGATATTAGTTAAAAATTAATAAATAGTAAATCTTTATAAAAAAAAACTATATTAAAATACATAGAAAATTACAAAAATAATATATTGTATATTCTTAATAAAAAATATTTTTAATTTCTTAAAAAATATTTTTCATTTTTGTATTAACTAGTGATTTTATAACAGCCATTCTTATTTACAAGGTTAGGCAAAAGAAAAGAATTTTCTTTGCACGACTACTATTAAAATAAAATATTTTTTAAAATAAAAATTACAAATATTATATAATTATTTTAAAATTTAATAAACTATATACATTTAAAACATAAATATTTAAATTATCAATAATATACACATTATTTTATTAAATATGAATAAATTAAAGAGAAATAATTTCTACCAAATGATTAAATTATTTTTATAAATTATTAAATTACAAAAACTTTAAAATTAAATTTTTAAATTAAGATTCAATTAAACAAATAAATCAACTAAATGTAGAACAAAATACACGATATAACGAGGAAACAAGCTAACTCTTAAGATGCTCTATTTTATTATAGCTTTTCGTAAAATATACAATTATTATCAAATTAAAATGATTTTTAAATTAAAAAAATTAAAAGTATATTGTATATTTTAAAATTTTATAAATTAAAAAAGAGAAAATATATTTTATATATTAAAATAAATTAAATAGATAATATTTCATTTTAAATAATAATTTATTATATATAATTAAATGTAAAAAGTTAATAAATTTATATACTCAGTTTAAAGAATAAAATATACATTTAATGTAAATAAAGAGAAATGATATATTTTATTTAACAAGAATAATATGATAGTACGTGAAAAAAAAAGTGAATTAACAAATACCTTACTTTTTATACATGCATATATACATATACGTATACATTCATGTATACATATAATATTTCGGTCAATGTGCATTTTGCCTTGTCAAAATCTGTGTGTTTTCTTATGTTATTTAGTCAGTCTTCGTTTCTTTCTTAGTCTTTTGCTTTCATCTTCCTTCATTCCATCTTTGGCCATTGAATTTGAAAACGAATAGAAACATCCCAGATTGTGGTCCAAAAATACATGCAAACAAATTCCAGCAGACATGCCTCGGAAATATAGCCAGTCCTCATATTCTTTAGTCAAGCTCTTTTGATACTCTCGATGCATGCCCAGTCAAATTGGCAGTATCATTCACTCCATGATTAGTATTATTGTAAAGAATTTAATGTAAAATCTAACAATGATATGCTAACAGTAGTGAAAAGAAATTACTCCATGATACTGTAAAAACTTAAATATATTCTTTATCTCTATATTTAAGTAAGATTTTGGTTCTAATTTTTTATTTAATATTTATCTAACACTTTTGATTATGAATGATGATGTGACTAATTAATAAATTATATCATGTATTACTTCCTCTTTTCTTTTCTTTTTTAATGAAACTACATCAATAAAAGGAACCATTAGTAATGAATTTAAAAATCTTGAAAATTAAAACAAAAAATTAATCAAAATTAAAATCTGGCAAAAATTTAAGATACAAAAACATATTCAAGTCCACTGTAAATTATGGAATAATACCTTTACACATGCCACAGGAGCACAATCCTTTGTAATCTTTAAATTTTACAAAAAAAATTGCAACTTAAAAATTTGAAAAAGATTAGTTTTCCTTACTTTGGTTCATATCTTTTCTTTACGAAAGAAAAGCAATATGCAAACAGAGTTTGTTAGCGTAATCCTTTTTACCCCCTAATCCCTTTAATTGTTAGCAAAATTATAGTAACACATAATAAAATTTGAAAAATAGCATCTGAATAATTTTTCTAAAACCAGTAAAACCACACAAGCTACAATTGTTGGAAATTATAAATTCACAAGTCAGCGCAAAACAGATCTTATAGAATGGCTTAGAACGGAGGATAATGGAAAAAGGTTACAGAATCAAGGGAGCAGACTGATTTGACAAGTCAATCGACATGTCAATCTAACACAAAATAAGAACCTTCATCTGTTTCTATCTAAAATGATGTAATATACAGAGCAGATAAGGTTCCGTTGATCAGAGAAGCATGAATCAGAATTTTGCATGATATAACCCACTATCCAGTTTTGTTTTCTAAAAATTCTTGCATTTACTGAATCATGAAATGCTCAACACATCCAATCCCACCTGCATGATATATCAATATTACAGTTGGAATAGTGTGAGCAAAATCATAAGCTATAAGCAGTTCCTGCTTCCTACAATATCTGAAGCTTTTCAAGAGTCCTATGAAATTTAGGATCTAAGCATCATTGGCAGTTTGCCATTAACCCACAAAACGAACATGCAAGCAAACTGTGGATAAGTAAACCAACGGTGTACATCAAAAAGAGTGCTTGACTATTTCAATGTCAAACAGTATACACACAATCAGGTTTTCATTAGCATAAACCCATCAGATGCTCTTCATGATCCCAAATTCAGGCATTAAATAAATTGCAGTTAAGTTCAACATCAGAAACTTGCAACATTTTTCATCCAGTAACAAAAAAATAATTTCCCCAAATAATCATTAAAAATTTTACACTGCATTGCATATACCATTTGGGTTAGTTTGGGGTTAAGGTTTGAAAATTTTGAAACAATAGGTTCAGAATATTAAGAAATATGTAATTCGATAGGAAGTTTGGATACAGTTCAACAAATTGCATTTGTAAATCAGTTCGGGTTACTGAACTGTGTTGAAAACAATGGTTCAGTTATTAAATTGATTTTTGAGTTCGGTTATTTGAGGTTTAATTCGGCATGGTTTACAGCAACATTTGGTTCACAAGTTTTTACACACCCCTAGCAATCCAGTAGTCACAATCATACGGATTGAAGAATAACTATAGCACAGAAGGAGGGTGAAACTAAATAACAGAATAAATTGAAAAAATTGAACATGTGATTGTAAGTCTATTTTAATGATCATGGTATACAAGTCATTAATATAATCCAACCTTCACAAAGCTAGTTGACTATCAGAATCAAAGCTTGTACACTGGATTTTATTCCAAAATTTTGATTGCAAAACCCTAGCTTGCTGCTATAAAAACTAAATACAATTTATCAGATCTGAATACATACAGTTAAGGAACAGAAGGGGCAAGAACAATTTGCAATTTTTTGCGAACATCTTCCAAGTCTTCATGAAAATGACGCTCATAATAAATACACATAAGATCAGTGCACTGCATGCCAGCACGAATGGCCCAGGGAAAATAGTGCTGATAAAATAAATTTCTCTGCTTTTTGTTGAATCTTGCTGTGCCCCCTATGACTGACAGGAGGCACATAGGAAGGTGCATCTGCTCAAACTCTATTACCTTCAGTGCTGACTCCCCAATTAAGCTAGTAGGAAGGTCGAAAAGGGTATGCCAGAAGTCATGCACTTCACGAGCCCGCATGGCCACATAGGCCAGTTCATCCGTGTCCATGAACCGCACAGGAGGTCGATCATCTGGTGAAAAATTCCTGGATCCCATAAATCTTGCATAGGCGGCACCAAATGTGTTTGCTGGAAGGTCCCAAGCATGTCCTACATTTGCAGATAAAACGCGAGGGCGCTCCAAGAGTACTGCCTATTAAACAGGATTATGAAAACAAACGTATTGGTCTCTGACAAATAACAGTATGTCCAGATAGGCAGAGTAAGAAAGTCCACTATTTCAGTCACACCAATAAGTATCATTTCTTAGAAACAATTATAATATTTATCTAAGTCTCTAAGGGTGTGTTTGGTTTTGTATTGCAGAGGTATTTTGCTTCAAAAGTTGTGATGTGTTGTTTGGCAATGAAAACTTTATACTTTAAATTCCTTAACCAGTGCCTCTAGAACACTGATTAGCAAGACCCATATTTTAATTACTATTCTAACAATACCAATAAGAAATGGTCATATCTTTTTGAGTAATTAATTGCACATCTAAACTAATTTTTTATTAACACTCTCAAAATGTCCAAATCATTGTTCAAATAAATGTTTTCAAACATAAATCATTTTATTCAAACCCACTTCGAGCCAGAATCAATTTGGTAAAATTAAGTTTGCAAACTCAAATCCAAACACACACTTTAGGCCAAAGAACAAAGGACTTAACCATTATTGTGATTTGCCACAGCATCCACAAAAAAAGTGAATTTAAAATGAATGAAGGGCACTCAATTCATCAACCACAACATGGGCAACAAGGAGAACATTCATATCAACCAAAAATGAAGAATGAAAGAACAAAATACAATTGACACAATACCCACCCTCCCTTCAGGGGAACTCTTCATCTTCTGAAGAACTCTCTCAAAAGCAGGCTTTCCAGTTGTCTCCCCAAGAGCCGCTATCAAATCCGCTCTTCGTGGGTCCAACAATGCCCCCACCGCCGAACCCACCGCCACAGCCGCCTGCTGCCATGTCTTCAGCCGGATTCTACCACCTTCTATCATTGCAACTAACTACCCCTGCCAATCTGAAATAACACATTATTATTTTTCAGAAAGCCAAAGTTCAACAATTTAGATTCAACTAGGTAAACAAAATGAGACTGCAATCAACGGGAAGGGAAAGCAATTAAATGTGTGTGTAATTGAAGATCTTGAAGCCCTAGGGAATCACCATTTCAATGGAGAAGTGCTTATTGCAACCCACCAAGCACGACCAGTTTTTGGTCTTGCCTAATTATAAACATTAACGATACAGAGGAAAATGAGGAACCAAAAACTTTGATAAGAAATAATAGGAACCTTAAAAACTACAAAACTTCCAACAACAACAGCGAATTATCAACCACGCAAGTTTAAAAGAATTTACCGACAAAAAAATTTTGTCAAATTATCCGAACCTCATCGAGCACTTTTAGCGTTAGATTGTGGAACTAGAAACCAATCAAGTCAAACAAAATTACGGATTTATCAGATTTCAGCGTTTATATACTCAAACGAATGGCTTAAACGTTGATGTTAATGCAAAACCAAACACAGGCTAATTGAAAAAAAAGACTCAGAAAAAAGAAAAGTAAAACCCTAATTATAGTTAATTTGCCAAAACAATTATGACTTTTTACTTGCAAAGGAAAAGAAGCAGAGAATGAAAGATGTTACCTGAAAGTAAGAATCAAAGAGAGGGGAATCACTAAAAACTCTCTTCCCTGATTTTACCGTCAAGGGAGGACGCGTGGAGTTCATGCTAACGGACCACGGTTACCACTATTCTCTCTCTCTCTCTCTCTCTCTCTCCCTCTCTCTCCCTCTGTCTTATTTTCTTTTACACCAAGAAACTTTCATTTTTCTGATGTATTAATTTAAGAACGTTATTTTTACTATTTTGTTATAATCGGTCTTTATTGTTGTTGAATTTAAATAGTTAATAATATTTTGTTATTAAAATATAAAAAATATTAACTATTTTTAATCTAGTAAATATTTTTAATAAATTAATATTTTGGATTTTCATTTCGCACTGAATCAATGCTTTTTTTTTTCAAGTTTAATTTCTTTCCCTTATCATTTATAACGTCAATTTCTATTTTAAGAACTGAATTTAAATATCTAAAATAATATATTTTTAATTAAAAATTTATATTTATTACATCAAAGATAAAAAAAAATAATTTTTATAAAACTTATTATTATTGTAACAAAACCGTTTTATAATAAAAATAGCAGTATATGTTCTATGAATTAGTATCCGTTTAAAATTTATGATTATATTTTCTAGTTACATTATATTTCAAAATTAACTTACGTCACCTTGTTTTAAAGCAATTTTATTGATAAAAGTGTCTCTTTTCTCAAGGTTAGTATAAACGAGACAAAAATTGAATGATTTTATACATTTCTTTTTCTTTTTCCACTTGTTCCCTTAAGAAATTGCCGTTTATTGAAGCAACCGTTCTAACGTGTCAATCTCTCTATTGAAGAAATTAATATAAGAAATTGAGTTAAAGTTGCTCTTAGATCTTGAATGGGTTAATGCTACTCTTACGGCAACATGTCTTTTTAATCCGTGATATTTAGAGGAACGTCTGGACACAAAATCCAATTGTATCTTGAATGAAAATGTCTTGGATAAAATATATTTATGAAAAACTAGAAAGGAAAAAAAACCCTGATATTTGTAGGATTCAATTCAAACGTTAAAAACTTTAATATAGAAAAGGAATTTAATATCGTCTGATTAAACGGAGGAGAAAATCGCACGTTTAAAATTTTCAAGGAGTAAAATGTACGAGATAAAGTTTCAAGAAAACTAAACTTAAGCTTATTATTAAATAAGAAATATACTGATAATTAGTCATTTAATTAATGATGAAATTTCACAGACGGTAACTTGAACTGAAGTTCAGAAAATATAGCATATGTTGACACAGATAAATATGCGTACTTCATATGTTCGGCTTAGAATTGGACGATAAACACATACCATATATCCAACCAATAAAACAAAGTACGAGCTTAATCTAAATCACATATTTATCAGAAGTGTAATATCAAATGATAGATACTCGAGGTATGATACCACCTTGCAAGTGAACAAACTTCTGTAGGCACAATAAAACTTTTCATATATTTTTAATTGTTTGACATTATACATAACAACCCACTCCCACATATACATTTCAGCTCAATAATACTATCACATACCCTGAAAATATAGGAAACCAACTAAGACTGAATACTAATAATACTACAACAGAAAAACCCCACAACCCATCACTATCTACCAGTTAGGCTATTGAAATCAGTGGACTATTTGCTGTTGCTGACCTATGTTACGGCCTGGGACACGATCATTTACAGATTTATCAAACCTCACGGAGGTCAGCAAAGTATCACGACTAGTCAGAACGGCTTGAAAAAATCCATCCACTCCCTTAGCAAGAAGATCTATTCCTTGTGAAAGCTTCTCTGCAGCTCTACTTAATTCCTCAACAATCTTCACAAGCGATTCTTTCTCAACGTTATCTACACCACCCTGGATAGTAGGATATAATTCCTTAACAGAGGTATCAACTGTTTCCAATTCATTCAATACAGTAAATTTGCCACCGGAAAATCTAACTCTAATTTCCTCATTTACAAGATTCTGTAAAGTTCTAAAAGCCGGAGCCCATGAATACATGTCAGCCACATTCAAATCCAACAACTTCTTCGGAGAGCCAGAGAATGCCGCAACAAACACACTGCAAATAAATACAGTCTCTACTTTGACTCCATACATAGCTTGCATGAAAACCTTACCTTTGGCAGAATTTTTAACCTTGGGAAGATCAAGTGATCCCACAAGATTATCTAAAATGGAGCTACATTTCTCAATTCTAGGATTCCTTGAACTAACTTGTTGTCCCCAATCATTAAGTAATGAACATGCCCGAGAAAACTGTTTTGAAGAGGCAGATTCTAAATTATGCAGTGCACACTTGAGAGGAAGATTACCCTGATTCAGACGTGAAAGCTCAGAGCTAAATGCATTGCAAATATCCAGCAAATTTGCACTTATCTCCAAGTACACATCAATCCATTTGTCATCCCAATCACTTACAGGAAGCTCAAGCTCTGTTATAAGGTTTCGTATGTCATTATGTGTTTCACAAAGTGACTTCATAGCCAAAGTCATCCAAGACAAGTTGAGGATTTCATCCTTGCTTTTGGGCACAAGCCTTTTCAGCCTCTCTGCCAATCTTGCCTCAAAAGCTTGCAATACAGCAAGAAGTTGTGAAGACATGCGAGAGCCTTTGGGTGATATCATCCGAAAAGGATTTCCAAAAGGGAAGAAAGATCGGGGTGGGTGTGGATCTGGTGAACGGCTCATTTTAATGTTCAACTATGACAAAGCAAAGATCAGAAATACAGATAAGTTAAAATTATAAATCTAGGTGATGGAAAAGAGATAATATTTGTGCAAACAGAACAAATATGTTGAAAAATCTCAACACACAACAATGCTATATGTTATTTGTGCAATGACATTGCATAATACACACATGCCTTTTGAGGTAAAATTTAACAACTAGAAACACCATTTTTCCCCTTAACCCATCTGTTTCTTTCAAAATTATTATAAACATCAAGCTGCCTTTCATCATTCAAGCTGTTACAATGTACAGGATCCTTTGAACTAATTAATCTTAAACGGCCTCAGAATGATAGTAAATCAAGGTAAAGTCTAAAGTTCACAATCATTAAAGAAACACTAAAAATGCAAACTAGGACTGGGCACAAAAAAAAACTGTAAGAACTGAACTGAACCAAACCTTAAAATAATCAAACTTCTAGAAACCAGTTTTATCAAATCCAGATTATAAACTACAAATAAAAACCGTTATTACTTAATGAAAATGGTTCGGTGGACCAATATTGAACCAAACTAAACAATGGGTTCCTACTTCCTAGAAGCCACGTTTAGCAAGACATGGGATCATCACTCATCACTTCTCAGATCAAAGGTGAAACTAACTTTGTTGATTAATAACCACTTTCAGCTGTTGAGACCAATGGTCTCACCATCTTCATCACCACAATATTCTACTTGTTCTACCTTCCACTTACAGTATCACCCATTGAAAGTTTGAGGCAGTGTAGGTTCCTACTTCCTCCACTTGCTTTTAACTGTTGAACATGCTATCTTCCAGTTTGAACCACAAGAAACTGGTTCACCGAACCAAATGCCAGTTTAAGGTGGTTCCACTTCATTCTATAAGATGGAAACTCCAATTTCACAGTTTGGTTTCTGAAACCACAATCTCAATCAGTTCAATTCAATTCAGTTTGGTTCTTTTTAAAGGCTCTAACCGTGCAGTCCTAATGAAAAACCCATAAAGATATTAGAAATTAACAGCTAACTAACTAAATTTTCCCTTGAAAAAAAACTAATATTAAATTTTAGTCCATGAGGTTCCACCAAGGAACCAAAACTTTTATCATGAAATTAGAGAAATCCATCAGAAAAATAAAAAATATTGGGACCAAAACCTGAACGAGGAAAACTATAGCGAATAAAATATATCTTAAATAAATAAACAAAACATGAAATACGAAAAATAAAAACAAGATCCATAATTAAAAAAAATCCTCCTTCCAGCCTTCAATCTTTACATTAACATGTACAGATCTAACATCAAAACCTATAAAACTCCAAACAAGAACAGGCAAATTCAAGAAGCAAATTACTGACCACGCAAGTCTCCAAAAAAAAAAATCATCGAAAGAAAAAAAAAAGTCAAACCATATAAATCTCATCAAAGACGTTTAGATCGTCGAACTAGATACCAATAAAACCGAAGAAAATAACCGATTAGCAAATTAATTCACAAAAGACACAAATAAATATGAAAAAACCTAATTCAAGTTACTTTCCAGAAACAGAAATCAATAGTTTCTTATATTCTTTTGCAGAAATCGAAGAACAAGAAGGAAAGGATGTTACCTGAAAGAAGAATCAAAGAGAGGATAAAAGTTTCAGAGAGATGCTACAGCCGACAGAATTTTCGTCTCTTTGGAGGGTTCAGACTTTGGGTTGGGTGAAGTTCTTATTTTGTGGTTGATGAGGAGGATGACTGATAAATCTACTATGCTAGCCTGATTTTTCCGTCAAGGTAGACACGTGGGGCTATATTATTGGCCCGTCATGTTATTGGATACCTCTACTCGTTAATAAAGTAACAGCTCGCTACCGAGAAACTTCTATTTTCTAATTTATTAATTTCAGACAATTGTTTTATTATACGCGTGATTTTTTGCAATTTTTTTTGCCATCGATTCATACCAATTCAATGTTACTGTTTCCCCACCCAAAATAAAAAATAAAAAATCAACGTTATTCTAATGTTTTTACTGCACGTTCGGTTTCCATCTATTGTGAATACAATGTCAATTCCTAGTTTTTTTTTTTTAATAAAAGAAAGTTAATTTCTGATAGAAGTAGTTATAAATCAAATTCAATCTAATAAATTATAAAAAAAAAAACTAAAATACAAATAAGTCCAAAAAATTAAATGACATGATTAATTATTTTAAAAATGCGTGTTCTAGTATCTATTTAAATTTACACAAAGGAAATTATATGCAAATTCAAAGCTTGTATATTACTCCTATGAGTGTAGAATAAAAGTGAATTCAGACCAAAAAAAAAAAAAACGTGAACCCAACATAAATTAAAGTTTCATGTTTTGTTAATACACGTATTTTACCCTCTGAATCAAACGTGTGATTCACAATTTTGAAAACAAATATTTTACCTTTAAACTTTGTTTAAGTTCAGTAATGATTTAATTATTTGTTTGTTAACGAGTAATAAAAGGGTGGCGGTGACTGTTGACCGTTTGACCTAGTTGTCAGCACTGGATCAGATCGAACGGTTGTTACGAATTAGAAGACCATACGCGTTCTTAGATCATGAAACGTCAGCAATATGGGACCACCCACCCTCATGCAAGTTGCGAATTTTCAACCACACGGTGTTTTTCTTTTTTCTTTTGGGTAAACGGTGTTTAGTTTACCCAAAATGTGATTATTAGGACACAAAAGGCCCAATTATTAAGAGGCCCAATTGTAAGCCCAACTTTTATGATATATCCGTTTCAACCCAACTCAGCAACTCACCGCCCAGGAACTCGTAAACCTCTTCTCTGTTCGTTGAACGTTTCTCAAACTGTGTCGCCGGCGTAACCATGGTTCGTTCTTCAACTTCGGTTGAAGCTTCTTCGCGTTTTTTCTTTTCTGAATCTCTCGCATGCATTTTTCTTATTCCACTTTTGTGTCATTGTAGCCCCAAGGAGATTACATAGAACGTCATAGAAGAGACTATGGCTACCGCCTCGATCACTTCGAGCGGAAGCGCAAGAAAGAGGCTCGTCAAGTTCACAAACGCTCTGCAATGGCTCAGAAGGTTACAGTGTTTCTCTTCTCTCGTTTTTTTTTTAATTAGAAAATTTTTAATTTAAGTCGCATTTAATTTTACACTGGTTATGTAGTTGTATTGTATGTCGTGATTTTTATTTTATTTTATTTTTAATTTGAGTGGAACAGGCACTTGGTATTAAGGGTAAGATGATTGCGAAGAAAAATTATGCTGAAAAGGCGCAGATGAAGAAGACGTGAGATGTTTTTCCCCTATTTATGTGTCGTGTGTTGATCATTTTTCTCTATTTGTTTTTGTAGTCGCTTAGCTTGTGGCATTTTCGTTTTTGATGTGTTGCATTTTGGGTTTATGCCAAAATAAAATTGTGGTGGTTTGTTAAATTTTTTAGTGGCGCATTTATTCAAGAGTAGTAATTGGCATAGTAGTTGTTAAATTTATGAGATAATGATTTCACTATTGTGTATCAACAGTTTGGCCATGCATGAAGAGTCAACATCTAGGCGCAAGGCTGATGATAATGTTCAAGATGGGGCAGTTCCTGCATATCTTCTGGACCGTGATAACACTACCAGAGCAAAGGCAAGTCTCAGATGAAGAATTGAAAAACAGTTTCGACTCTTGATTCTTTTCTTGTAAGTAACGTGACAAATTTCTATTTTTAGGTTCTTAGTAACACCATTAAGCAAAAGAGGAAGGAGAAGGCTGGGAAATGGGATGTTCCGCTACCTAAGGTGAGATTGCATTTGATGCTTTGAGCATGGATGATGTTAAATGATATCTCTTGAAATATTTTTACCAGCAATCAAAAATACTTGAGCCATGCATGCATAAAGTAAATTTTAGGGTTTAGGGTTTAGGGAAAATCGACCTTTGGAAAGCCTAATCACCCAGTCTCAGTTGACATTGGCTTTAAGCAAACATACAGATGGGAAGATGGAAACCAGGAGCAGATGAAATATACTGTAGATAGTAAGTAAACAGTGCAGACGGTGGTTTGGTTTCAAAATTCAAATTAGTTAATGAAAAATAGGAGAGATAGACATCACTTCAGTGTTGCCCACATTTATAGATGATGAAAAACCACTAATCAATATTCACATGTCAATGTCTTACATAGAAAAGTATAATGAATAGCGGACAGCAGAAGTTCTCAATTGAATAGATATAGGGTCCTATTTCGTGAGTATTTCTTAGAAAGAAAGGACACCCAAGGAGGTGGGGTTGTGCTCCTCTTGAGTTTTACATGCATCTATGTTTTCTTATTTCTCCAGGTACGTCCTGTGGCTGAAGATGAAATGTTCAAAGTGGTTCGATCTGGTAAAAGAAAGAGTAAGTATTGTATATCACCTTCTTGGTCATTTCTTTATCTACCTAAAAACCATGATTGTTTACAATTCCTAGTTCCTGGATTCTTTCCTTGAATAGGTTGAGGATTCATGGTCTTTTGATTTTATTACATGATCAGAGAATTCTCTATCTTGTTTGTGAAGGTGTCTTCCTGTCATTGTTTCTACAATCTAACAATTCAATATAAACATTTTAAGGGCTATTGGCCAGAATGAATAATGATCATTGCTGAAATACATCTTGATAGTATATGGCTCACCATTTTGCAGCCAAGCAATGGAAGAGGATGGTTACCAAAGCTACATTTGTTGGACCTGGTTTTACCAGAAAACCTCCAAAGTATGAGCGTTTCATTCGTCCAACAGGATTGCGGTTCACTAAAGCTCATGTCACTCATCCAGAACTCAAATGCACATTCAATCTAGAACTAATTGGGGTAAAGAAAAACCCTAATGGCCCTATGTACACCTCTCTTGGTGTCATTACCAAGGGAACTATAATTGAGGTATTTATATTCCCACTTCTAATTGATAGTTATTTGTATACTCACAATTCATTGCATCCAAGTTGATCACAACTTGCCGGTTGTATCCCAATGATATGTACTGAGGTATAATGTAAATTTAGTATGACCGGCTAGCTTTCATCAAAATATGTTGTTTATTTCTTTGCTTAATGTAATTCAGGTGAATGTTAGTGAGCTTGGCCTTGTCACACCTGCAGGAAAAGTTGTGTGGGGTAATATTATTCGATACTTGTATTTTGGTTTTATCATCATCAGCTAAATTTTCAACTGAAACTGACACAATGGGTTTCTTTTGCCATGAATGCAGGTAAATATGCTCAGGTTACCAATAACCCAGAAAATGATGGTTGTATAAATGCTGTTTTGCTTGTTTAAGGCCATAGCAAGGATTGGACTTCCAACTTGATTTCAAAAGCGATGGTCAAAGTCCCTCTCCTATGTTTTTTGCGGTCTTATACTGTCACTGTATCCGCCGTCCCCAATGTTCGAAGGAAGTTGCACCACCATCTTTGTCAATATCTGAGATTTTGTCAGGGAAATCAGTGAAGCATTTTTGTTATCAGATTGCAATACTCACTTGTTCTATTCTTATTTAGATAGTCAATGCAAATGATCAGATCTAGCACTTGACATTTGAAGGTACAAGTCAGATAAAGTTATTTGCAGATGCAGCATTTTGGCAGCAAATATTATGTCATATATTGAAAAATTTAATGAAGGACCACTAGCCTAAAGCATGTTTTCTTGAATGTACTTTTTAATGTGAATTGATTTAAAATTTTTATGTCGCAAGAAAGGAAACTTTTGTAAATAATTTTTATATTGATATATCTATTTTATGGTAGGTGAAAGCTCTAGGTAAAAAATTATTAATAGCTACATCACAAAACGATAGGTATCCATAAATGAAATGTAAAAATTATATCTTTGTTTTTAATGTTTAGTAATTTCAAAACTATATCTATTTCTTTTACAACAGTTTTTAGACTTGAATTCATTCAAAGATTTTTAACTTAACTATATTAAAAACTCAAAAGACTGAATTTAAAACTTATTTAAAGTTGTCCAACAATAGTTTTTTTCTTGTTTTGGTCAATCATTCGACAATAGTTGATTGCGATGAAAATATGTTGTAACTTAAAATGAATTTTATCTATAGCGCGAGGGAACCGACCACTAAAGTCACCACTTTACTTACCCCTCCTGACTCGAGGGTTAATCACACAGCTTTAACTATATTTAAAATTAAACATAAATTTTGAATATTCTCACGTTTCAAACATAATTCGTACAAAACTTTAACTAAAAAGATAAAATAAATCATTTTTAAAATTATTTCCTTCTTTATAATAATATAAAATTCATAACTGATTAACTCATTATTAGAAAAACTGCTACTTTTAAGAAAAAAATGTATGCATCATGGTCCAGAACATCGATGGTCCTACATGGATAGGTTTCGGATAAACGATGAAAAATTTGTAAACTATTAAAATAGATATTAAAATAATTTACTTACCAATGTACTATACTCAATATATCACGAGTGATATTTTGGACGAAAACTAAAGATTAGTTCTTTTAAAAGTGTAAACGTTATAGAAATGAATTTTATTTTCTTGATGACCCCTTACTTTTCAAGTTTCTTCGAAACAATATTAAAACTCATATTAACTTAATTTCTCATCAAACACGGTCCTGTGTAAGCATTAGATTATTGGGGGGGGGGGGGGAATCAAAATATGGTATTTTTAAAACAATTACAAAAATATGAAAAATTTTTAAAATCGTGAATAACAATATTTGGCCAAAATTTGTCCGAGTGAATTTTTTTTATACTTTTAAAAAATTTTATTTTAAAATTAAAAAAATTTATTGACAAGTTTTAACTTTTTTTAATTTTTAATATCTTTAAAAAAATCGTTAAAAACACTATATTTCTGTAATTTAAAAAAAATCATATTTTAGTACATATAATTTTTAAATATCTTGAATAAAAAAATAAACCTTGATTATTAGGGCTTTTTCCTTGTTATTAAAGAAAAGAAGCACTTTAATTTGTGCAATTTACGGCATAACATTCATGTTAAAGGTGGTATGACTTGAAAAGATAAAAGTTATGGCTGGCTTTGAACTGAATAAAGCATACTACTTACTAACTTTCACTCCTTTTTTTTCTTAAAAAAGGTTCAACGACCACAGAAGAAAAGAGCAAACAATAAAGTCTTGTATCCATTTGCACTAATAGGTCAAGAATGACAGGGATTTGACATTATCTCTTCAATGTCATGTTGATTAAATCATATGAGAAAAAAATGTTATATACTTAAAAATATGAAATTTAAAGAAAATTATAGAAATGTGAACAATTTTTTTATTTAAAAATTGGCACTAACGATTTGTATATAAAAATAGGTAGTTTTAAAAAGATCATTAGGAAATTTTTGAAGCTCATATTTACGTAATTTATTCAATAAACACATGTTATTGTACATTATTTACTCAATCATCGTATATAAAATAAAAACCTGAATGAACACTTATTATAATAATAATAATAATAATAATAATAATAGTGCTTCCTTGGAGACACTGCTTTCTAATCAACTCATTAGAAACTATATAAAATTTGGCCCCTCCCCATTATTCGCTGCCAATAAATATGATGAGCAGCTGAGCACGTGTATGAACAAGTTGGAGCACTGATAGCCTAAAATAGTTCAACTTGATTGTTTAATATTCATTAAATTGTATAAATTTATAGGATTGAATGTGGATTTTGGACTTCAATTCTTATCTGCTGCTAATAGAAAAACCTTTTTATTTTGGTAATTTATGAAATATGGCTGAATCTCATGTTTAAACAGGCAAGATTCTCATAAGTTTAGAATCGTATGAAATACATAAAAGACTAAAAATCTGAACATTTCATTTGGTACTCATCATACACAAGCATATGCTCTGAGAATAGTAATAAATGTATCACAGTTTTTTTTTTACTTGATTTATTGTTTTTAAACATCTATATAGAAACAATCGTATAAAAAAAAACATTCATATAAAAACAAGTTACAAATATTTAAAAACAAAATAAAAAGTATTTTTTCTCTTGTCATTATTTCTGAAAGTAAATAAAATAAAATATTTGGTTTTTCAAACTAAAATGGATGCTCAAGCATCTCTAAGCACCAACTGTTCTTCAATATTTAAAGTTTTCTACAACCTCTGAAAATTTTCGGTACAATTTTTTTTAAAAGGATCTTACTACACAATATCTTTATTTTAAGTCATGATTAAAAAGTAGAAAATAAAAAAAAATTGAAAATTTAGTATGAATGCAATGAAAATTATTAAAGAGACGCATTAATTATTTTTTTATATTTTTTGTTTTTAATTCTTTAATGAGTGTCGTAAAAATTATAATTAACATTTGCCTTTTTAAAAGATAAAATTTAAGTATAGTTTCTAAAATATTTTTTTGTATTATTTTTAATCAAAAATTAAATTGTACTTCAATAATAAACTTTTAATTAATGGAAATTTTAATTTTATTTAAATAACATAAAAATGCTTAAAAAGTGACGGTAAGTTTTATATAATTTTTAATGGTTCAAATTCATGTGCATACTGTAATATGCTGAATAATCGTTTTCCTTGATTCAATTTACTAGAAGTGATGAATCACACACTTCCAAGAACAAACCATTTATGACGCAAGATACCTCGTTACCTAAAAAGCCATTAAGAACATCACATGAGTGCACGCTACTTTTACCCACAATCCATGGCACTGTCGAGAAATTGAAATTATAGTATATATAGTAGCAGTAATTTTGAAATAGGGTTGTCTCTCTCGAGCATGATCCAAGAGAAAATATTTTCGTGACAAAGATTTGCTTTGTTTAAAATTAATGATTATAACCTTTAGAAGTTTTTATTTGTTTTAAAATCACTTTTACGTTTAAAACATTGGAGGAAAATTCATGTTTTAACATTGTTCTTTGAGAGAAAATGATGAGATGAAAGGCCCTTTTTTAGGAAAAAAATCTTCACGTATAGTATTACTATTAACTAATTAATAACTTTTATTTATTTCTTTTCTTGTGAAAAGAGTTAAAGCCCCCAACTTTCTAAATATGTTCAAGTTCTTAATCACTAAGAAATCATCAAAATACTTGGTTTTGCTGCTGCTTTTTTTCTTTTTGAAGAGCTACTTTTTTGTTTTTAATAAAACTAAAGTGTGAATTCCATGTCACATTTTATTTTTCTTTTAAAATATGTTAAACACGAAATAAAATTCGAAAGTGTGTTTGTTTTATCTTATTTTAACATGTCAATCAACCGCTGATTAATTTTTAATAAAATGGATATTTATGCAAGAGAGCGACTTCTGAGATTTAAAAAATAAAAGTGCTTATCTCTATATTCTGATGCTAACATTTAATTGGATATTTATGAGAATGGAAAGGTTAACATTATTGTCTGATTGCCGATTATATGTTTGAAAGGTTAACAAAACAAGAAATATCAGGACACGAAAATAAATAGATGATAGTTTATTCTCAAAAGGGTCCACAATCGACAAAAAGTCAATACTCAATGTAGCTTGACAAATGCCTTATTTTGACAAAGCTTTCTTGGATGGTGTCATGATTACTAACCCAAGTCAATGTCAGGTTCCAAAGTACAAAGAAATTAACAAATGAAAGACAATCAACCGAATGAAAAACTTTCTAAGTCTACAGAGTGTTAAGCACTTCAAGATGAGCCCAGTCAAAGTCATAAGAAACTAACTAACCATTGAAGAATGTAGCAAGAGACAAAAAAAAAGGGCACCCCCAATATAGATTCACAATCAGGCACCAATTAGTGCCGGTTACTTTCTAATACAAAAAACATGCACTGGCATTGACAATGAAACCTTAATCCATGACCAAATTCCTGTACAATTCCCTGCTTTCACTGGCTGTTGCTCCATTTGGGAAATGTAAGGTGAATGACATGAAGTTGAAGGTACATTTCATATTGAATAGCAGGCCCGCATGTCCATATCCCACAAGCATCCAACTATGGTGTTGGCAATGATGTTAATGCATTGAAATTGTTTCTATCAAGATAGCTGGATGGTAGGCCTAGTGCTCAGAAGCATCTAACTGGCCCCACCAATTACACTCAAAATGCCACAATATGATGGGACCAGGATGCATTGCTAAAAACAAAATGTGGGAGACAAAGGTGGTTGATGATATATCTTGAACACATGGAAAAAGTACCAATTTTATGTAATGCTTATACTACTTTGTCATATAAACAGAAGACAAATCATTTTCATTTTTATGGTAATGAATGAGAGTATACAAAGAATCCCAAATTGAGGTAGGTAACAAAGTGGGAAGTAATGCAAATAGGAGGGGAGGAAAAAACTAATTTCTTCTTTCATCATTCAAATAGAAATAAATATTGGCAAAACTACTATAAATATTGGCAAACTACTAAGAAAAATAATATAGCACATTGCTTCTCAATTACAAGACTACAATCATCTCCACCTAGTAGGCTGATGATGATATCTACCACCACTATCATCTTCACTTTGATCACTGATCTCTCCACCTATTCGCTTTCTATCTATGCTTGAATCCTTATGCTCTAGTTGGTAGTCACGATGGGACATAGAAGATTCTCCCCCAATCCTTCGTTCCTGCAGACATGAAGGGGGAAAGAAAAAAAAATGAGTATCAGATTGTACCAAAGTTGAACTTTCTTGTTATTGTTACAGTTATGTACAAAGTAAAGTTTGAGAAGGAAAAAGAACATACATCACGGAATAAGTGGTCATCAGCCTCGAGCATGTGAATCACACGTCCCATTTTAGGCCTCTTTGCTGCATCAGGGTCAACACATCGAAGAGCAACCAACAGAGCACGTTTAAGAGCCTTTGGAGATGGCTTTTCAGAAAGCTTAGGATCAACTACTTCCTCGGATTTTCGATTCCCAATCATAGTTTTCAACCATTCTATTAAATTAACCTGCAATAAATCCAACTCTCACAGTTAGGGGAAAAGAGAGAGAGAACTGTGTGTAAAGTAGATAAATAAAAAGAATAATCACAAAACCGATGCTGTTGTTGGTGATGGTTTCTAACCTCTCCTTGTTGTCTACTATAATCAACAGGACTTCTTCCTGTAATTATTTCCATGATAAGTATCCCAAAGCTATACACATCACTCTTCTCAGTAAGCATTCCGGTGCAGGCATACTCTGGTGCAACATAACTGCATAAAGAGAAAGGGAGAGAATCACTACCTTTGTAACATAAATATGAGAGTAATAATTACCACTAACATATTTCATTCTTACAAGAACTAGAACTAAGTATAATTAGTAAGAAACTAAGACAGGAAAATGCTTAGTTAAATCATACTAACCCAAATGTCCCCATCACTCGAGTGGTGACATAACTATGCTCAGAATAAAGGAGCTTAGCAAGCCCAAAATCGGAAACCTTTGGGTTCCAATGGCGGTCAAGGAGTATGTTACTAGATTTTACATCTCGGTGGACAACTTTTGGTTCAAGTCCCTCATGAAGATAAGCCAATCTGAAATGATACACAAAAATCTCAGCAATCTTTCAAGCATCAATATTGATACCAGTATGTGCATATTAGATCACAAATAAAGTACCCTTTTGCTGTGCCCAATATAATGTTCATTCGGATATCCCATGTCATAGGGCTTACAGGTCCAACATCCCCATGCAGCCATTGTTCTAGATTGCCATTGTCAACATATTCATACACAAGCATCCTGCAATATAAACAGTCATATACAGACTTCAAATCTCGCATCTATTCAAACTAACAGAATTTTTATCTTCAACCTTCAAAACAATTAAATACCTGTATGCCCCCTCAACACAGTATCCAAGCAACCTAACAAGATTTTTGTGCCGCACGCGACCAATTGCTTCTACCTCTACTTTAAATTCTCTCTCAGCTTGGCCCCTGAAAATGAGTTAAAAACCAAGTTCTTACTTCCAAGCAAAATACAAACACAAGACCAAGACCACAAAACTTTCACTAGCTAGCAACAGTAATTAATTAAAGAAAGTGACCCAAAAAACTCAACGACATAAAACATTACAAAAACTCTTGATAAGTAACAACATTATCAATTCAGTAGTAACAAACAAGGGGCCGAAAAGAAAAATGATTCTTTTCTTCACACAAGTGAGCGACTTTACAACACACCACCTAGCAGCAGAAGACAAGGAAAACACGCGAAAAAGAAAACCAAATACAAAGTAGAAAACAGTACCAAGAGTAAAACATAAGAAAATACAGACAATAAAAGGCCAATCAATCACTACTCATGATAAGCCTTAGTTTACCTGAAACAAGCAAAGCCGTATTCTAAAGCTCACATAAGCATTAGTTCACCACAACTCATACAAAAACTTCGCTAAAATTCTCTTAAACCAAATAAAACAACACAACCCCAAATCAAAAACAAATAAATAAACATGAAGGGGCTACATAAACACCATGAATTTTTTATCCTTGAAACCAATTCAACATTAACACACACAAACCCAACAGAAAAATATCACACTCACAACAGATCATAAAATTAAAAACACCATTTTTCCCAAAAAAAATAATTATAATAATAATAAATAAAAGTACATACTTGTTGTTCAAAAGATTCTTAACAGCAACTTGGGTACCATCAGGGAGCAAGCCACGATAAACGATTCCATAGCCACCTTCACCAATAACGTTCTCTTCACGCAACCCATCAGTGGCAACTTCAAGTTCCCTGAGAGTGTACCATCTCCCCCACCCAAGATGCGACACTTCAGGCCCCACACTCCCACTCGCCAGCGACGACGTGGTGTCGCACGCGCTATTGGTTCCCTTGCTCTCCCCGCTGGAGAGCACCGGAACCTTGGGAACGTCGAGGTGGATCTCCGGCAGCGGCGGGAGGTGAACGATCTCCTGAATTTCCTTGGAGACGAGGGGGGTGGGGTGGCAGAGTTTGGCAGCGTTGTGGCGGTTGTGGTGGCGGCGACGGCGAGAGGTGAGGCAGAGAGATAGGAGGAATAGAGAGAGAACGATGAGGGATCCAACGAGGATTCCGATGACGACCCAAAGACGGAGACCGAAGATGGAAGTGCGTTTCGAAAGCTCGGTATCGACAAAAGCGGCGTCGTATACTGACATGATTTTTTGTGTGTGTGTGTTAGAAAATGAATTGCATTGGTTTTGTTTGGGTTGAAGTGAAGTGAAGTGTTGCAGGAAAATTATGAGAATTGAAAAAGATGAATGTTATTATATTTTGTTTTGAATCAAATTGAGAAGAGAGAGAGAGTAGAGAGAGAGTAGCGGTGGGTACTGTCTGTAAGAATGTAGATGGAAGAAATAGGTTGTCCCGTGTTAGAAGCTAAAGCTTACTTTAATTAATTAAGATCGAGTGACAGTAGTACACCATGAAGAAGAAAAAAAAGAAGATAAAATTTATGTATTTTTCTATAAATATTTTTAGTGTGATTTTTAATTACTAGTAAAGTTTTATTTTAATATAAATGAGTATTTAATATTATTATAAAGTATTAAAATAATTAATGACCACGTGAATTAATTTATAGATATTATTTTAGTTTAACTTGTCTATAATAAAAAAAATATTTGTGATTTTAAAAAAATATATAAAAAAGTATAACTTTAATTGTAATTAAAAATAATATTAAAATGTGTAAAATAATTATAGCTATATTTTATGTAACAGAGAGTAAGTACAAAGAAAAAGTTTAAGAACAAATTTATTTTAATTATTAAATAAATAATATTAAATATTTTTAAATTTTAAAAATAGTATATATATATATATATATTCTATAAAATTATTAAAAAGATAATTAGGAGGGTTCAATTTTTTGGTGAATCATTTTCAAAAGATCAGGTCCTCTGTAATAATTACAAGTTTACCTAAATTACATACTCGTTGTCTCAAAAAAATTTAGGTTACTAATTTTTTTTAAAATGCATATTAATTTGGTTGTATTCATATTTTGAGTTTAAAATAATATTTTATATATGTCTTAATTAATATAAACGTGATCACATTAATCTTAGTATATATATATATATGTATGTATGTATACATATAAAGACATTCTATAATGCTACCTTGAATGGTTTTGAAATCATTTAATTACTTGTTGGATGATTTACTTGTTTCCTGTTGTTAACATAATGCATTTTAAAATAAAACATCCATGTCATTTTTATGGCTTTTAAAATATTATAAAAAGTATTTATTAAGTAAATAAATTTTAAAGTATATTTCTATATTATATATAATTTTTAATTCTTAAAGTGGTCATTTAAAATAAAAATATTTGTAGACATTAATTTTTTTTATTATGTTATGTTTTTTTTCTTGCATTAAGTATTCTTTTAAACTCGATCTTAATTTTAGTATTTTTTTTTATTTTAAAAAATTCATCTCTTATGTATCATTTAATATAATAAAACATTTATCATTAATAATTATTTTCTTAAAACTTTCTTAAGTTTAACAATAATTATAAAGCGAGGTTTTGAGAATTCAGAAAGATGATAATATTAATATGTTTTTTGAATCAAATTGATAGAGAGAGAGAGACAGAGAGAGAGAGTTGTTTTTTATAAGAGAGAGGAACAGAGTTATTGATTATTATACTACAGAAGGAAGGAAAATGGATTCTTGTTGGTATCTTATAAGCTAGCTTTACCAGTGTTAGTTCAAAGCCAGTGGAGAGACTAGGATTCCATAAAGAAAATGGATAAATTTTAGGTAACTTTTTAATTAATACCAATGTTTAATTTTGATGTAAATGGGTATTTGGTATTATTATAAATTATTAAAATAATCTTTAATTGTAGTTTAAATATAAGATAAAAACATGTAAAAAAGTTACACCTACATTATATTATAGAAAAAAGAGTGAGCAAACGAATAAAGTTCAAGAATAATTTTTTTTAATTATTTTACATTAATATAACTTATGATTTTAAATTAATAAAATTTATTTTATTTAATATTTTTCTGATAAAGTATAAGAGAATGATTAAGATAATTAATATGGTTGAATATTTTTGGTCAATGTTTATAAATGATTAGGACAGTGTGCTGTAATTACAAGATTAATTAAATTACATACGAGTTGACCCAAAATAAATGCTACCTCATTCATTACGAGAATAAAAATAATATATTTGAGTCATGCAGTTGTATATGAATAACAATAATACTTAAAAACATAATTAAAATAAAAAACGCAGGTGATTTTAAAAAAAATTAATTATTAATTATTCATAACAAAATTTAACAATTAAAAATTATATTTCAGATTTTAATGTACTCTCTACTCTCAAGAATACTAAAAGCCCACTTGACCAGCCATTAACATGGGATTAAGTGGCTGGAATAGCCCTAAAACCCCACATCTACGCACTTCTGAGCCCATTTTTTAGACCCAAATTATGTTGTCTGCTTCCACATGACCGCATCACAGATTGGGTCAGCTGTGTGTAAATTGAAGGCCTATCTCACTCTTCTTTGCCAATGCTCATATTTTCCTCTCTCCATAAACTTCCTAGTTCATATAGCACCTTAAGGCTAAACATTCAGGTCAAAAAATTCTCAATCGCAATTTTTTATTACCATCTGATTCGTAGATAAAAGCTATTATAATAAGTTTATTATCAAATATTTATGATGTATAGTAAAAAAAATTTGTACTCTAATCATATAAGCTAAAAAAGTAATTCAAAATGTCACCGTTGATCATGCCTAATCATAGAATATATAACTCTTAATTTCAATTAAAAAGTAAATCCCTCCCTTTAGAATATATCTGGAAGAAAAATTTTGAAAAAAAAACGTATTTTTAGTACAAAAACAAAACCTAAGCACAGACTCAATACATCTTCTAAAATCTAAACTAAACATGTCAATAGAACTGTTAAACATGTGCATGACACACACCCACGCAACAAAGGATAAAATAGTCAGACATTAATATGTTTTTTTTTTCTTCGTTTCTCTTCAAATTAATTTTAAACTCTATCCCGATATAGACAATTTTTTACGAGATCCGTCGTAAGTATATCTTAAGATGCAGTAATGTTATAATATTAAACCATAAGAATGTTTTTATTATTATATATGTAATTGATTTTCCTTTTTACACAAGCAATAGAATATTATTATTTTTCAAAGTTATTGTTTTAAGATGTAAAGTTTGTGTTTAAAATTAATTTTTCACGATATTGTGTAAACATGTAATATAAGCACAGTAAACATAACACATGCAGTTACGCTGTGTTTAGATTTTATGTTTAAAAGAAAATAAAAGAGTAAGAAGAGAGTTAGTGAGATTTAACTTCTATTTATAAGTTAATTAAGTAGGAAGAAAAGAGGTATAGAGGATTTTTTTAAATCTCAAAGATTTTTTAAAAAATACGTTAATTTTTAAAGCGGGATTTTAAAAAAAAATTATAAAAAATAAAAATATTTAACTTTATATTTAAAAAAATAAAAAATAAAAAATACAAATAAAAAATTAATGAATTAAACTCTATCAGTTTTTTTATTATTATTAAACATCTAACTAAAAAATATGTTTAACTTTCTTTTCTTTTCTCTTCCTTTCTCTTTTATTTTTATTTTTATTCTCTAAGCATTCAATCAAATTTAAGGGTGTCACTGCCAACTCTAACAATTCTTTTATAAAAGTTTGTAATTTTTATAACGGCGAACAAAGTAAAAATAAATAATGACTTAGTTATGTATTAATTTAAATTTAAACATTTTATAAGTATAACAGATTTTAAATTAATAAAAAAATATTCACTTGTCGTTTTGAAATGGCCTAGTCCTTTCTACATTTACAGAATATTCTCCTAACATGCGCCTTTGCCTTTAAACACAAAGACCAGGAAAGAGAAAGAAGCTAGCTTATCGGCGTGGCTTCTTTGTTTCATGAGTAACTGCAAAATGTGGATCTAAGATTCATTGCAAGTGTGTCTTGATAAAGATATGTAAATATTGATATAGTAACATTATAACATTAAACTGTAAAAATGGTTTTATTAATATATAATTAACTTTCTTTTCGACAAGACAATAAAACATTACTATTTTTGAAAAAATCATGTTTTTTTAGGAGAATTCTTGGTCTTGTCCAAACATACAACGTTCTTTTAACTACCTATTGAGCTTCCAAAGTTTTCACTTTACAATTCTTATCAATTTAATAAGAAGCGCCTTTGTTGACTCGAACACACCGAAAAACAGAGTGTTTAGCTGTGTGAGAGAATGAGAAGGAATCGCGCGTGACTTAGTGACGTGGCTTTTTTTGTTTTTGTTGCTATTCGAAATAGTATTTCATTAATATTTCTATGATTTTTTTGGTACTAAAAATGTGGCCTTAGCATGACACGTATGCCTTGTATGCTCTTAATCCAAATAATTGAAATAATCACTTCAGTTTTGTTTTAGCTTTTGTTCTGATCAAATAGTGGGACGGTTTTTCTTTTTAACTTTTCTTGACGTAAACCATGACGCAGAAATTGAATGGGTGGCTACCTGGTGACAACTGACATTTTTTCTTAGATTTTTCTCGTACAATATCATAACATTTTTTTTGTTATTACTTTGTTTTCTAAATATTTATTTTAATCATTTCGTTGTTTTGTCATGTTATTTTCAATTCTTGCAATACTATGCTTTCTTTTTACATTTTTTTTTATTTTGAAATTTGAGAATATTATTAAATTATAAGATTATAATATGTTCTAAAATTTGTTTTATTGTTTCTAATATCGTGTATATATAAAATATTAGAAACACATACTTTTATTCGTGTGCTTTTGTATTCAAATATTTAATTATTGTAAAAATGTAATAATAAATATAGATTATTAAATTTTTTGTACATAATTGGGATTAAGAAAATAATACGTTGTTTTTTTAAGTAGTCACATGATAATTAACTGACGGTTAATTTATGACTATCCAAATAGAGCTGTAAAGTCTAAATTTATTGTTTCAAAACTTAAAAGTAAAAAAAACACCAAACTAACAGTCGACTCAATTGACTTAATTCATCTCATCTTTTATAAATAATTATTAAGTAATGTAAAGTTTAAATTTGACCCATGATATTTTTTGCTCTTAATTGAGAATGAAAGAATTAACTTCTACTATCAAATATTATCACGAATAATCATAATTAAAATACATAAATTATATAAAACATTTAGAAAGAATTGTTACCTTTTAAAGTAATATATCTTTAAATATCTGTGAATCCAATAATTAATTCAACTGCTAAATTTTGTTATGAATAATCACGATTAACATTATATCAATGTTTTTAAAAAGT